AAGAAATTACATTAGTTTATGTTTTCCCTCAAAATGTTTACATAATTTAGAGGTCATTTTTGCTATTGTGTTGGTTTTATGAAAAAGCTTTTAATCCATTCTCTTTTCATTCTTTTTTTCAGTCAAACCTGAAACGGAAACTTGATGCCCACATGTAAGTTTGAAATATGAAAAGTGTCAACTCTTAAAGAAAAGTTGAGAAATCAAATGAATATACATGTTCTCCAGTAGAGGGGGGTAAAGAAACTGCGTTTGTTTCCTCAGGGTCCAACTGAACGAGGCTCAGGACGAAATCATGAAGAAGAAAGAGCTGTTGGAGGACCTGCAGCCTGACAACACTCAGAATTGTAAGTCAAAAATATTTTCCCCTGATAATTCCAACATGTTACCCCTACCGCAACCTCTAGAGTGGAAAATATAACCTATTCTGTAGTCAGGGTCTCTCTCTTCTCATGAGCAGAGTGCTATTTCCCCCAGAACTATGCACAATGTGACTGAAGGGAAACTTTATAATGTCTTTCTTGCCTCAAAGCCCTGAAGCTGGATGAGCTGATGGCTGCTCTGAAGAAGAAGGACGATGACATGAGGGCCATGGAAGAGAGGTACAAGATGTACCTGGAGAAAGCTCGCATGTAAGTGATAATATAATATAATTTCTCTATTATTTGTGTATTTTGTTTTAACGTCTTATTCCTTGAGTCAAATAAATGAATGTGGCTTCAAAACGTTGTTTTTGTAGGTTATAAGAGCACTGGATCCAAAGCTTAATCCAGCCACCGCTGAGATCCAGGCTCTGAGGAACCAGTTGGCCGATCGGGACAAACAGATTCTCAACCTGGAAGTAATATGTTTTTGACTCCTTGTCTGTGAATATACTGTACAATATGTTTATAAAGGACATGGGATCCAAGCCTAATTCATGTTGGATTGATTTGCCTCTGTAGCGTCTGTGTGAGCAGGCCAAACTGAGAGAGTACGAGGAGAAGCTGATTGTCACTGCGTGGTACAACAAGGTGAAACAAATTCAGATTACCTGGTTGCTCCTGCCTTTTTATGACATTATTGACACTTAAATGTCTTTTTGTTGTCATTCAGAGTCTGGGCTTTCAGAAGCTGGCGATGGAGGCCCGACTCGGCGGCTGCACCTCCTCCGTGTTGACCCCCGGACATTCTTTCTTGTCGCAGCAGCGGCAGGTCTCAAACGCTCCCCGCCGGCCGCTCTCCATCAGCGTGCCGGCTGCTACCTCCAAGTAACCGTGTCATAGAGCCAAACGTCTCACCTTAAGTCAAACAGAAGAATACTCTCACTCCCAACAGTGAGCACTCAAGTGACCTTAAACACATCTGCTCTCAGCGCTCGGGAGGAGGTCACGATCGATCAATGAGCACTTCATTATCAGACAAAACATTATGGGGTCACCTAACCGAGACTTTAGCTTACTGTACCACCAGACACTGACTGCAGGAGGACCGCTATTCAACAGGAATCCACAACCTGTGTTCACTTCACACAAGTTACACACACTGTCCCAACCTGTGGAGCATATTTCCCTTCTGCCATGATAATATGTATAATCAATTTAGCCTTCAGTCTCCTGACATGATGTATACTTGAACAGGAATGACAGAAATGTAAATGAATGCTTAGCTATATAATTCAGAATTGAAGCCCAAGATATATGAATGTGTTTTTTTTTAAAGGGTAAATTGAATGCTTAAGCTAACTGACAGATGATTGTTGATGTATGGAAATCTTTACCATCATACTATGCTTACAAGTCAGTAACAACATCCTGCTTACAGGCAAAAAGACTAAATGTGCTTCCAAGAAAAGATTATTGCTATATTTGGTGCTGGCCACCAACTGTTGTTTAGCATCAAAGAGTCAGTCACTTGTGACTTTTTACTCAAATGCAACAAGCCCATCATGTTAAGATGTGAAAATATTATAAATCTTATTACGTAATAAACTTCTGAGGTGCTGCAACAACAAATCATACACAAGAAATCCAGGACTGGTGAATTTGTCTTGTGTTTTCTACACTCCTAAAGCGTGATTTGATTTAAGTAAGTAAGGCCTTTGTATTCACTGAATATTTTGAAAATCTAATTCAGTAGTGATAAATCAAGTTGTACAGCTGTAATGGAAATGTGATTTTAACACCAGCTTCTGATCCAAATGTAAGAATCAGGTTAAGCTTTCATACAGCTCCTTAAAATTGAGAAATGTAGTTGATATCAATTTAATCATGAATGTTTTCAGGCTGTTTTAGTGTCTGTAAAAGCTCAGAGTGAGGAGCAGGTGTGTTATTTGATATTTAATATAGATATGTTGGGTTATTGGCTGTCCTCTATGGGGTCTTAAGTTTAACTGCACTAGTTTCTCAACATGAGTTAGCTGTGGGTTGATTGCCTTGTCACTCTGTGTGTTTGCTATAATACTAAAGAGGCACTCTGTTATGATGGTTTTTCCATTTGTGATCATTAGATGTATTTCAAAGCGCTTTTTATTTTATGTTTTGCAGTGAAATATTCTGATTTCTGATTTAGGAGCAGTGTGTAAGAAAATAAGGAGGACAATCAAACGTAGCGCTGCACAGAAACTACTGTTGTGCATTGTTGTATGTTTGTTAATCAAGAAAAGTGAGGAAATCATTATGAATATTCAGGAATTTAAAGAGTTCAAATTTAAAGCGTTTGGTTTTTCTTGTGAATAAATAAATAAATACATTTTCTAAACATGTTTTACAATAAATTGCCTCAATCTCAGTTTAGGAGCAAAGATGATAAACATGGATAAAATGTTTTCTCTTTGATGTTAAACATTTGACTGTGTTCTCTTAATAAGGTTTCCATATCATCAGCGCATGTGAAAATAATGCAGCAATTATCCAAATGAACCTCATCAGGATAGATGAGTACTTTACTCAACTCATCAGGATAGATCCAATCATTGAAATCTAATAACAACCCTGATGAAAGAAAGATCTGACATTTCTATAGCAACATTTATTTTTTATAGTTGCAATAGTCCACCTGAAATCATATAAAGTGAGTAATAATAGCGGCATATATTGGAGAGTGTTGGTGCTGTATGCTGGGTACATAACTCTCGATATTGGACAAATGTAAATGTATCACATTTCACTCGTGATAATGGGCAAAACAAACCATGCTAAAGTTAATCTTGTGCCACCATCAGCTCTCGTGTTTCAGACACATGTTGTAGACAGGACCGTTGAATGCTGTCTCTGCTGGTAATGTGTTGTTTTTGTGTTGACAGGAAAAGTAGCCAAAGATGCAGCATTTGTGTTGCATATGTTAAAATGTATGTGTGCTTTGCTATAGTAGAGCACCGTTTGCAGGATTCAGCGGGCTGTGGCATAGATCTTAAAGGGGTACGGCGTGCGTGTGGCTCCTACGATTCCTTCAGTACTCAACTGAACTCTGTCCAGCGTTGAAAAACAAAATGTCTGGAGCAAACTGACAAAAAACAGGAACAGCTCCGTCCTCGCCAGACCTTCACCCAGACATGCACGCTTTCCTGGAGAAACAAACAAGCATAAAAGCAAGACAATGAAGGCAAGTGAATCTATGATATTTCCAATTATACTCTAACTACACGCTTACATTTCCTGCACCCTAAACAATTTCCTTTCTTCATTTCATTTCAAACCTTTATTTAATCAGATTGGTCCCTTGAGATCATAGATCTCTTTTTCAAGGGAGACCTGCAGCATATAGGTTCCACATGAAACATAAAACAATAAAGGCATCATACATTATATTTACAGGATACATTTACATAGTTATAGACATTTACAAGTGCCCATAGTATCAACGAGCATTTCATTTAGCCTAGCTTTAAAAACATGCAGAGGAATGAGATTGCTCAGTTTCAATACTTGCTGAAGATTGTTCCAAGCAAGTGGAGCTGTGCACATAAAAGCTGAAAATGAGGAACGCTTCACGAATTTGCGTGTCATTGTGGTTCAAATGTGCAAAAGTCCGTTAATTCATTGTTTATCACTGAAATGTGAAATGTACCTGCAGAAAAAGGTAAAAATGCATCCCTCCTCACAAACTTCCCCTCGGCATCCAGGAAGTGTTCAGGATTGAAGGTGTCGGGGGTTTCCCATTCAGTCTTGTCAAACAGCACGGAGGTCAGGTTAGGCATCACTGAGGTTCCCTACACGCACACGCACACGCACACACACAGCAATCAATTCAATATTGTTTATACAGAAGGATAAGAATAAACAATCAAATGATACAGACACACCTTGTTAGCAGATGAAGAAGGGTAATGGGTCAACAAGTGGGTATTAAACCTGTAAATATTTACTAGCTTTTCTTCATATGAGATATTTCAATAATTTTCTTTTTTAAATTATTTCCATGGAAGTTTTTTTGTTTGGTTTGCCTGCCCGATCTTGGTACAAATGTGTGTGGCAGGGGCCAGGGAAGAACCTGTTTAATTTCGGAGCATATTTGAATCAAAATGTTGATAAATAGGTAATGTTCCCTTTCATCATCATTGTAAGAGTATTTGGCAATTGCGGATTTCTATACAGTCCAAGTGCCCATCTAGTTATTTATTTTATTTTATATATCAATTTTAGGAAAGCACCCACCCAATATAGAGTATACAGTATATTTTCCCCAGCTTGTTGAAATCCTCCTAAGTACTGCAGTATATGTAAGATTATATAATTCATGTATTCTGGTAATTTTGTAATCTTGAAGCATAAATCTCCAAGTAGATTCAACAGTATTGTTTTTCTATTAAACACAAAATAAACAAAGCCTTCTGTTGTGACTCCTAAATTGCTGCACGCTATAAGTAAACGCACCTTGGGTATGACGAAATCACCCAGTGTTGTATCCTTGGCAGCCATTCTGAGTCCATTTAAAGGAACAATGTTTCCCATCCTCTGGATCTCGTGGATGACGGCGTCAGTGTAGGGCAGGTTGGGTCTGTCTGCCATACTGGGCTGTCGGCTCTGTCCGATCTCTCTGTCTATCTCGGCATGGACTTTATCTAGGAGGTCAAATAAAAAGGTTTTAAACTTGATCTTCTCTGGTTACTTTTATACTTGTTTTGCTGCTGATGTGAACACCCACCCTGGATTTGAGCGTTGTTGATGAGGTAGATGAGGCCCCACTGCAGGGTCTTTGAAGTGGTCTCACTACCAGCCAGGAACAGATCCAGACAACACAGAACCAGATTGTCATCGTCAAAGCGCAGTTCACTGTTTCTGTTGTGCTGAGGAACAGACATATGGTCAGTTAGTTTTTATTTTGTCATGCTGTTCACGTTGGTTGATCGGCAACACTACAAACACCATACTTTCTCTTCTATGAGGAAGCTGTCGATGTAATCTCGTGGGTTGCTGGGGTCCAGGTCCAACTTGTGCCTCTCTATTTCTCCTCTGATAGATGCCTCCAAAGACCTGGAGCTGCTGAAGATGCCACAGTGAGGCCCCGGCAGGAGTTTCATCAGAGCTGGGAACGCATCATAAAGCTGTCGGAGAGGAGACGGGAATATTCAGTGGTTGTTTATATACAAGCAAAGACCAAAGCTATGATCATAATATTTTCTGACAGACTTTCAATTGCCAGAATGACACATTTTAATTGTTTTAAATACATTACTGATTACTTTGTCCACAAATATAAAAATGTATATAAATGAGTAATGTGCTGATTTTAGTATCATTACCAGTTCAATACTGGCAATTATCACTAAATCCGATATGGGGAAGGACAAAAAAAAAGATATTTTCAGTCTATTTTTATAAACTAAATGATATGTTCATATTGAGTGTTAAATCCTGTATTTTACACTGGGATTATAATAATTTTGTTATTCTAAATTATCAGATTACATTTTTTAATAAAAATTGCATTTTAAACATCATTTTGAATGCTTCAAATGCTTTAAAATGTTGCTCAAAGTGTGTGTGAAACAGTTCTAATGAAAAGAAGCAGAAGTAGCACTACTGATTCCTGATGTGGGATATTTATTTATTTCTATAGGAGAATATTAAGTTATGATGTTTTTGATGGCTAACAATTGCAAAGTGCATCCGTACACATTTATTATCAACAGCTAAATTGTTAAGAAAGAGAAAAAACAGTATCAGATTGGGATTGGCACAAGAAATGAAAAAGGCATCTAAAATTATCCCTACAAGTAATTACATAAAATAATAAATAAAGTGTATTTTCTTGTGTTTCCCCGACACACTGGTTCTGATGCATGTTATGAAAAGCTGTGTGAGGTTGTAAAATGTGTCTGAGCTGGTTTGCATCTTACTAGAGCCCATATAGATCCCTCCAAATAGGCCATCTCAGTCAGACTCTTCAGCATGCTCTGGAAGTTGTGGTCGCCATATTCATACCGTCTCCCAAACACTATCTGGCAGATGATGTTGGCCACAGCGTTGTTTAAGAGGGGCACGGGGTCGAATGGCTCACCTGAGTAGGACAAAGTCAATTTATTTATTTTGCTTCTCATTCTGTTAAAAAAAATGTATTCGCTTTTGTTGATTTTCCCAACCTTTCTCCTTCTGCATGGCCTCCTGCAGATGATGACTCTCCTCACAGATGCTCTGCTCCATGGAGCTCTTGGCCAGACCAAAGGTACGTAGCATGGCCATGGCAAAACGCCGCTGTCTCCTCCACACTCTCCCATTACTGAAGAAAAGACCCGCTGAGACAGAGAGAAACCACACATCAGTACAGAGGCAGGCACAGGTTGACTCCTTAAATAGTGATGTGCTTTAGGACTGTCACGATACATTTTAATGCATAACCAAGGTTTTACACTACAACAAAGTGGATATGACAATATGCTATCATTGCAATGAAAAGCAAAGTATAAGCAAAAATAAGACAATAGTTTTGCACTGAATATATAAAAAGAGGAAAAACAATTATTTTTATTTTAAGACCACGTTATGCATTTATTATAATGATAATAAAAAATAATGAAAATGCAATTACATCCTTTCCAAGAGCTGTAAATACGGCTTCCCCCAAGTCTTATAATGTTAGACATGCAAACAGAACAGCCAATATCTATTTCAGCAAAAAGTCAACAAGGTGATGACCATATATCTTACAACTATGGTGAGGGCCCAATGTACTGCATGTTTGTGTGATTCACCTGAGTTTCCTGAATAAATTCTGGTCACCATCGGGCTGTAAGGCCGGTCCACAAAGTTGTCAGCTTGTGTGACTATGGCTTCCTTCACCATCTTCCACCCGCACACAAACACTGTTTTGTGTCTTCCCAGACGTATGCAGAACACATTCCCAAACACATCAGCTAGCTGTGGATGCAGGGGCAGAGAATATGTGGCCTGTTGTCTGGCATGTGACTCTGATGAGATGCATTTTTCAGGACAATCATTTCTGACTATCAGCAGGTTTTTGCATTATTTTCTACCATAAACGTTTTCATGATCTGTTTCAGTCCCATGTCATTTTTTAAATATCCCTTGTTAAAGGATGTGACTCTACTGCGTGCAAAAGTAGTGTAGTAAATAACAGAGAACATCTACCTTCCAGCTTTCAGTTATGCTCAGGTTATCGCAAAAACACTACAGCATAATACGAAATGAGTTTCTGTCATCTTACCTTGGTTAAGTAAATGTGAGGCTGTTTAGACTCAATGTTGAATATGTTTCCTAGAAGAGGCAGTGATGGTGGTCCTGGTGGAAAGTTAGGTGGATCTTTTTTGTCCAGAAAATAGACAACGAGGAGAATCGCAAAAACAAAAAGCAGCATTTCCGTCAGATCGAGCCACAGAAACAAATCACGCAGACACATTGTTAAGTGAAGGAGAATAGCAAGGGACTGAGGATGACTTGCTCCATCATCAAATTCTAGTTAGAGATGGGCTGGTACTCTGCTGACTCACAGCTTATGTAGATGTAATGACCTATCGGTGCGACACAGAGAGGGGATGCCTGTTCATTTAACAAATACTGAGTACGTTTGTTGTTAGTTTGCAATATACCTATTTTTGTAAGACCCAAACTTTTAACCCCCCAAAAAATGTACATTATATAGATAATTTAAAAAATCTAGCACAATAGACATCAGACATGACAAGACAAGGCAGTCTTGTTCTTGGAATCTGCCCTAGCTTTCCAGCAATTGTTTTTCAGCTTTATTTTTTCCTGAAGTATTTGTTATTTGGTTTGATGATTCTTCTTCTGTTCCCTGTCTGGTAAAGTTTGCCCCTTTTTTCATTTGACCAAAGTAAAAAGTAACTATAATCTTGCTCTTTTTGTCCTTTACACCTCCAATGGCTTGTTAATAAGTCACCATGAGTGTATGTTATGTTGACAAAAGTATTAAACCAGGTTTGTGACACATATCATCAAATCCTTTATTAATCATTAACACATGTTTCCAAAGGTTTTGTTAATGATTGCAGTTCTTAAATAATGGCTAATACATTACATAACTGATGATGATAAAGAAGACATAGACAATACAGCTTGAATGTAATAGAAGATTGTATTTTGAGAAAATCTTTATACATATTTTCATTAATAACAAGGACAATACTGTCCTATAAAGAATGCCATTAATACAACAATATATTATGACAACTATTTTATCACAAGGAAGGAAATGTATAGGCAGAGAACACTTTTGTCGGATGAAAAATTATTCAAATCAAGTTTTATTTATATAGCACATTTATAAACAATTTTTGGTCGAGCCAAAGTGCTGTACATATAATAAAAATAGCCTACAGTAGAGACACTTTACAGCAAATACAACAGCACAGATTGTTCAGAATATCAGTATGAGAAAAACGACACCCTCTATCCTTAGACCCTCATTCAGTGAGATGTTGTATAATTTAGCGTGCTTTGGCATAAATCTTGAAGGGATGTGGTACTCGAGTTATTCCAGTTACTCCTTCTGTACTCAACTCTACTCCATCAGGAACGGAGAAAGAGAACTTCTGCAGTAATCCGATCAAAAACAAGAACAGCTCCATTTTGGCGAGGCCTTCTCCGAGACATACACGTTTCCCTGAAGAGTGCACAAACGTATACGATCAACAAAATGTAAGAGCTCCAACCATAATACATCTAATTTTAACAAAATTAGATGCTGAAATTCTTGCACATGCATTTCAACTCAACGTGGTACTGATGTGTTTAAAATCCTCCGTCTTATGGACTGGCTCTCTCATATTTACGGCCTTATTACCCTGTACGTACACTGTCACTGCCTTTACATTCCCTTAATCCCATCAACATATGCTTTCCTCGATTAAATGATAACTCTTTTGTTGATCGCACCTTTTGCTCGACTTTTCTGGAATAATCTTCAACAGCACATCGTGAGGCAAGCGCTGTTCATACTTTCAATATAGGCTGAAAAAAGTCGAATGATGTTTACCTGCAGAGAAAGGCATGAGAGCTTCTCTCTTCACAAACTTTCCCTCAGCATCTAGGAAGTGTCCGGGGTTGAAGGTGTCTGGGGTCTCCCATTCAGTCTTGTCGAACAGCACAGAGGTCAGGTTAGGCATCACGGATGTACCCTAAAAAAACAAGATTCATAAGCTAACACCAAGAAATGATCACACACGTTGTTTCCGAACATTGTATCAAGTGTATTACCGTATTAACTTTGAGTTGTGTGAAAATAAACCACTTTAAATGTTTTGACCCAGTACTTGCCCTCCTGACATAAAATAACTGAGTACACACTACTTCAGCAGGGGACAGGAGTGGCTGAAACCAGTGGACGAAGTGTCTAGTAAAGCTACACAATTAAATTACTTTATGCTATTTAAATTAGAAGATTGCTAAACCGGGAGTTAGCTGCATGATTAAACCAAGCTCTGGGTAACGGACTTGGTGACTTAAGTGACTTAAAAATCTGACTTTCTTTAGTAAGTGACTTGTAAACTTGAGTCTGTAAAAACAACCTCTCTTTTTTAGAGACATCCTGTTAAGGCTTAAAATGTGTAGGCCTACTAAATCCACCTTCGGTACAATATAGTCGCCCAGTGTTGTATCCTTGGCGGCCATTCTGAGTCCATTTAGAGGAATAATGTTTCCCATCCTCTGGATCTCGTGGATGACGGCTTCAGTGTAGGGCAGGTTGGTTCTGTCTGCCATACTGGGCTGTCGGTTGTGTCCGATCACTCTGTCTATCTCTGTCTGGACTTTGTCTAAAAAAGCAAGAAAGTTTAAGGAAGTAAGCTTCTAGTATAGGAGGATGAGAAACTTGACAATAAACATGTTAATATAAGGTGATTTGTAAATGCTTAATTGAGATAGTAAACATTAGCATGTTTGTGAGAGCTGTTAGTATATTCACTTTTGCATTTAGCTTAAAAATACTGGTGTGTTTAAGCTTGCACTGCAACAATCACTGGCCGCCATATTCGTTGGCAACACAGAACCCAGAAATATTTCAATATTTCTGCGTTTACCCAGAAGCTAAATCGTAGCCACTGATGGTAACAAGATTAAACAGCCTCACACTGCAATTAGCTTAGACTTATTTAGGCTGGTTTGCTGTTTTACAGTTAGCTACAGTGCAATGCTAGCATGACACCTACCCTGGACATCAGGGTTTTTGATGAGATAAACCAAAGCCCACAGTAAGGTAGTAGAAGTTGTCTCTGTTCCAGCCACGAACAGATCCAGAGAGCACATAGCCAGATTAGTCTCTGTGAAGCCAAGATCTGAATCCTTGTTCTATTCAGAGAAGATGCAGCAGTGAATGGCTGGTACATATACAGGAAGGGCAACACAGTTTTTTATATTACAGTTTTTAACTTACTTTTTCCATTTCAATAATGAAGGTGTCAATATAGTCCCGGGGATCACTGTGGTCCAGGTCCTTCTTGTGGCTCTTAACCTCCTGACTGATGAACTCTAGGATGGCGGTAAATTGATCGAACATTTTGTTGTGGGGACCTGGCAAGTGCTTCATCACTCCAGGGAACGACTCATACAACTACACAGAATAATAAGTACATGAGAGAAACATCCACATCGTCTTTAACCTTATGTGAACATATTTGACCATGCACTAGTCGGTTACGAAGGAATCAATCCCACCAGAATGCTGTTTTTCTGACAATGATTACACTGCAAAATATATAACTGACTTACCAGACCCCATAGAGAGCCCTGCAGCCAAAAAACTTCAGAAATATATTTTAACAAGATCTGGAAGTTGTGGTCGCTGTAGTCAAAGCGTTTCCCCATCACCAGCTGGCATATTATGTTGGATACAGCATTGTTGAAGAGGCCTGCTGGGTTGAAAGGTTCACCTGTAGGAGAGGAATTAACTGTTAGGACAACGCCATACTGCTAAAGACATTCTGATAAAGAGCTAATTTTGTAAGCACCTTTCTCTTTCTCCATCTCCTCCTGCAGGTGTCGGATCTCCTCACAGATACTCTGCTCCATGGTGTTTTTTCCCAGGCCAAAGGTACGTAGGGTCGACAAGGCAAATCGTCGCTGTCTCTTCCATGTTTCACCATTGCTCATGAACAAACCACCTACAGTAGATGCAAGCATGCAGAATAAATTGTGTTATTTGTTCAGGGGACCTAAGGCCTGCAGTACATGATACAAGAGATGTATGCACCTGAGTCTCCTGAGTAAACCCTGGCCACAATTGCACTGTGTGGTCGATCCACAAAGTTGTCGGCTTGTGTCACTAAGGCTTCCTTCACCATCTTATACCCAGACACAAACACCATCTTGTCACTGCCGAGGCGGATGCTGAACACACTCCCAAAAACGTCAGCCAGCTGTAAATCAAGGAACAAACACAGATGAATCCAAGCACTACTGCATGATATCAACCTGATCATTTGTTCAAAATCAAAATGCAAATACAATTGCTCAATAATGAACTAAAAGGCTACCAGGTGTATCAAGTTCAGAAGGAAGAACAACTTAACCTTATTATTTTGGTAAATAAAAATTATCGAAATGGCTTTCATTATTCTCAGTACATTGTCAAAGTTACACATTTGTTTTTGTCCACGAACTGCACTATACGTATGGCAATAGTGGACGAGAATCTTGAACCTATTGTAAATTAAATTAACTTTAAACTAATTAGATATTTATGTCTACATAATAATTATCTATCTATCAATCAATCAATGTTTATTTATATAGCCCAATATCACAAATGTTACATTTGTCTCAGTGGACTTCACAGTTTGTACAGAATATCAGTATGACAATACGACACCCTCTATCCTTAGACTCTCTGTCCTTAGACCCTCTGTCCTTAGACCCTCACATCGTACAAGGAAAAACTTCCGGAGAAAACCCACAGTTTAAAGGGAAAAATGGGAGAAACCTCAGGGAGAGCAACAGAGGAGGGATCCCTCTCCCAGGACGGACAGACGTGCAATAGATGCCGTGTGTAAATCGAAGAGATAATACATTTTACTGCATAGGTAGACCGAATGTTTGGAAATGCATGTGTCTATAATAAGAAGATGAATCCACGAGGATGTCAACTACAATCCTGTGGAAGCCATCAGGGAAATAGTATGATGAAAGTCAGGCAGGACCACAGTGAAAGGTTCAGCCAAGACTAGAAGTCCTGGACTCAAATCCAGAACTCAGGATAGAGGATCCAGGACACAGGACCACAGAAACAGGATCAGCCACGACTCAGGATCCCGGCATCGATAGACACCAAAAAGACATTTGGGGGAAGCTGGGTTATTCGGAACATGAGAGTACACAGGTACAGACAGAAGGAAGAAGTAAGGTGTCCCCCGACAGTCTAAGCCTATAGCAGCTAAACTAACGTGTCTACGTACATGCACTCCCTTAGGATAGGGTGAGGGAAAAGAGTAGGAACTAAGATGTATGTGCCACATCTACTGTATACCATGAGCACATTGCTCCTAAAAGGTTTTTTGGCACTAACACCAATAAGCAGTTGTGCGTCTGCTCGGCAGGGATCAAGGCACGTATATGCCTCTCCCTGCTTCCACCGTCTACACACACAACCAAATTACATACCATCAATAAGGAAAAAGAGTAAGAACTCAAATGTATAGGTGAAGAGGCACAACGTGTCTACGTCAATGCACTCCTATTAGATTATTTTATCAACTATAAGCTTTATCAAAAAGGAAGGTCTTAAGTGTACTCTTAAAAACGGATAGGCTGTCTGCCACCCGAACACAAACTGGAAGTGGAGCTTGATAAGAAAAGGCTCTGGCTCCCATTATACTTTTAGAGACTTTAGGAACAACCAACAACCCTGCATTCTTGGAACGCAATGCCCTAGTAGGACAGTAGGGTGTAATGAGTTCTTTAAGGTAAGATGGCGCCTGCCCATTAAGGGCTTTGTAGGTGAGAAGAAGAATTTTAAATTCTATCCTGTGTTCTATAGGGAGCCAGTGTACGCAGGGGCGGCGCCAGGGGGGAGCTAGGGGGTGCTGAAGCACCCCCCAGGATTGCCAAAGCACCCCCTAAGCACCCCCAAGAAATATGTTTTTGTTTTTTTTTCGAAAATTATTATTATTATTTTTATTAAATTAAATTAGAAATATTATTGATTACATCAATGCATATGTGAAACAAACACATTTTTTACCAAAAACATAAAGCCAACACAGGTGATATGATTAGGCCAATGGCCAGCACCCATTCGATTTTTGACCTACCCATGGGTTAAATTACACTTTGTGACACTTGGGTGACTTCCTGTTAGCTAGAGCGCCAAATGATTTGCTAACAGCAAAGTGAAAAATTGATCGTTTTTTAGTCCTTAAACGTCCACGTGTGGACACTCAATCAAAACCAACTGAAAGCGAGAGGGATTCTGCACATAATAGGCCTGTGAGTACAAGTAGCTTACTTCTGGGTCTCTGTGTTTCATTCAAGCCCTGCTCTGTGTGTGCGTGTGTGTGTGTGTGTGTGTGTGTGTGTGTGTGTGTGTGTGTGTGTGTGTGTGTGTGTGTGTGTGTGTGTGTGTGTGTGTGTGTGTGTGTGTGTGTGGCACGAGCCATTTTGTGTGCGTGCGTGCGCGAGCGAGCGAGAGAGCTCGCCTCGCGCACCAGTGGGTATCTACCGGAGATCGTTGTGGTTAGCATCTGGTGCTAGCTAGCCAAGCTAACGGAAATAAGGAGCTTTTTCAACAACAAGGTGGAGGGAGAACTCTCTCCTGTCAGACGGAGAGTCTCAGGTAACCTCAGCTCAGAGATGGGGTCGTTACTAAAAAAAAGTAATATATTACATATTACATATTACTTTTTAAAAAAAAGTAATATATTACACTACTTCGTTACTCTCTAGATAAAGTAACTCGTTACTTTACTCGTTACTTTACTCGCAGGGCCGGCCCGCCCCTACAGGCAGATCACGCAGACTGCGGCGCACCTACAGTGTAAGCGCGCCACAGTTTTGCCTCTGCGAGACTCCACGAGACTCCACTTGCACCCCCAATTACTATTGCATTAAGGAAGACTTAACACAAGTCTTTCTTTCTTTATATGCTCTAAAATAGGCTACCAGCCACACAACAAGCTAACAGTCTGTGAAACGTAAAGACACTAATGAATGAAACCAGTTCAAGACGCATTATTCTTATCATTCTTTATGAGCGCATAACGGTAAGGTATCTAATTACTTATTTAGTATTCCATAACTTAGTAACAGAGATGGTCAAACTAAAGTGGTAGAGACATGGCAGAATTCCTACAATGAAGCGGGACATTGAACTGTTCACCCGTGAGAGGGCGATCAACAAAAGAGAGCGAGCGGCCCGTTGAGGGAGTTTACAGATGAAAAGACTCAGCCATGTTTATGCAGCACTGCACGTGGAGATGTGGTCTCGCAAATCGCGCAGATTACATAGGCCTACATGTATATAAACCGATATAAACCTGCGGCGGAAACCCCTCTTGTCTGTCAGTGAGTGTGATTATTTTATAAAAGTAACGAAGTAACGCGTGTCGGGGCAATGTTAGTAACTGTAGCGTGGTTACTGAATTATAAAAGTAACGCGTTACACTACTCCGTTACCGACATAAGTACTATTATTACAGTACCGCGTTACTTAGTAACGCGTTACACCCAACTCTGCCTCAGCTCAGGTGAAGTAAAGGACTCTCTCAGTGTTTAGATAGTTAACTTTAGTCTAGTTATCTCAGTGGGTCTCAAACGGTTTGTTTTAAAAGGGGAGTGATTTGTAAAATATCTATAAAGAAAAAGTAAATCTGTTGACAGTTCTGTTTCGTATGGGTGTTGAGAGATGTAAACATAGATCTCTTAATGTTGCTCTCAAAGTGCACCAGATTGATGCTTTTAACTTCAATATTTAAAAAAATATTGGGGGGGGGAGTGTTGCAGTAGAACATTCAACTGTAGCGCTGGTGCATTAATGGGAAACCCTAAATGTTTGAGCACCCTCTATGAAACGTCAAGCTACCCCACAGCACCCCCTAGAGAAAATCTCTGGCACCGCCACTGAGTGTAAGGCAGCCAGAACTGGAGTAATGTGGTTCCTTTTCTGAACTCTAGTTAGTACACGTGCTGCAGCATTTTGAATTAGCTTATTTATTAATTAGACTTTTTGGTACACCCTGATAATAAAGAGTTACAATAATCCAATAATTACCCTTGTTCACAAATGAAAACATACCTTCATACATGTTTACCTTGGTAAAATATACGTGTGGATGTTTACTGTCCAAACTGAAGAAATTCCCCACAATCGGAAGAGCCATTGGTCCTGGAGGATAATTTGGAGGATTCCTGTTTTTGATGAAGTCGGCTATTATGATAAAAATAAAAATAAACAGGAACAGACCCTTTAGATCAAAACCCAGAAACAAATTATAAAGCCACATTATTAGAGAGAGTTAAACCAGCAGCAGTTGAAATGTTCAAGTTTTCCAAGAAGGCACACTACACTACACTACACTACACACTTCTAACAGGACAGATAACCCGAAAAACAAATCAGTAATTCAGACTCTGCAGTTTGCTCAAAGGTCATCGTGATCGTGGACTTGCATAACAACACAGGTTACTGACGCAACTACCTTGTCCTTGGCAAATATCTCTCTCATCACACAAATGATGATACCAAGTAGTAATAATGTAAGTATTATCATGCCAAAGTAATATAATGATAATAATATAACATCAGCTAAGCAATGTTCTAATACACATTGTATAACCTCCACTGATTTTCATCAACCTTACATTGAGATTGCATGTTCATAGTGTAAATAGAGTTTTGCCAAAAATATAAAGTGCAGTGGATAAAAGGCATCTAATTGATTATAGTGCAGTTGCATGTTGTTATGACCTGGCTCAAAAGGCCACAACAAAAAGGAGACACACCATGTCAACGGTTATCAAAATATGTTTATTTAAAGGAAACAATCCAAATTAGCCAAATTAAATGAAGTGCAACAATAAGTAAGGCATGAGGTGTGGACGTCAGTGGTATCAGTAGTGTAAATGCAGGGTGAGGGTTGCATGAATGTGTATGTGTGAGAGTGTTGAGGTGCACAAAGTAAAGCAACTAAAGTAACAACAACATATACTCAACAAAACCGGGGGCCTGTAGGGAAAAGCAGAGAGACCACAGAGAGGAGCAGAGAGGCTCTAAATAGCTGGGCAGGACACCAAACCCAGGTGCCCTGAGTTACTGTAATCAAGGTAATCACTGGAGCCAATGCAGCACAGACAGAACAGCCACACCCTATCTACTGATGCACCCACAGGGGCATCACACATGTAAATGAGTAACCACCAGCCAGGTGCAGGTGCACACAGCACAAACCACGTCAGCATGATCAAACCCAAGTTCACTCTTTCTGTGGTGCTGTCAGACACAGGCAAACTTGTAGTCTATTTAGAAAGGTGTGCTTTTTGGTTCTCATACATTGATTGTCTTAGGCAACAGACTGTCTTAGTCTCAATAAAGTTTCAAGTATTTTTCATATAGCATGATATTAATTTACTAAATTAGGTCCTATTTATTTACAGTGAAATAGATGATAAAGCAGGACAAGCTTGAGGCTATCATCTGATTAACTTGTCGCTACTACGTTGTTGTCCAGTTTGTGTGTTGTCTGAGTTTTTGTCCTTATATTTGAACTCTTCACATACGTTCAATTGAACAATTTGGTCGCCTTAAAAACAATTCTTGTTCAGTGTTTGGTTGAACTGAGCTCAACCCTCTCTCTTTTGTTGTGGTACAGTGTAGATATGGCGATGGAAATCTTAAGTCCCTTGCTCCTCCAACAATGGAACATAAATATATATAAGACATAAAACTAATCCAACAAACAATTACCAGGACTGGGGAAAAGTGGTAGTGCAGCAATAACAGAGTCAGGGTAACTTTAAAAAGGGTTCTATTTACCCAAACTCAAAGTGTTCAACAAACAGCAAGTCTACCTCAGCCAGAACTCTAGCCGACTAACCAGTTGAGGATTAACCAAAAAGCTTTCGTTTAACCAGAGGACACTTGGAGTCTCCTGCTCTCACAGTTTTGTCCACAATCTGAGTTTATCAGTTCAAACCGGAGAGACGTGATGTAAGAATTACATATTTATTGTTTACACGTCATATGAATGAAATGATTGCCATGATAGTACAACAGGAGAATGTAATGGTGTTTGGCGATTAGGCCCCCGGTTTGCAGGATAATCATTCAGGAGGGAAAGCACCGCTCCGATGAAATCCCCGGGGTCTAGACACTGGTGGTGGTGATGAGTAGGTGAGACCGGTCTGAAGGAGGAAGGTTTAGCTTTGTCCTGAAGGAGACGGGAGGCGAGAGGGGTGGAGGCGGGTTGCGTGTGATCATCTGCAATGACAACTGACAGGGAGGAAGAGCAGGTATTTAAGGCATTTAGCATGTGCAGCGATTGGCTGCTGAGGCGTGACGCCCTCATATTTAATGAGGGGGGAAGGGAGCCATAGAGTGACGTGTGAGTGACTCGAGTTAGGTCTTCCTTATTGAACTTGCGCTAAAGCTTTCATTTCAAACCGGAGAGACGTGATGTAAGAATTACATATTTATTGTTTACACGTCATATGAATGAAATGATTGCCATGATAGTACAACAGGAGAATGTAATGGTGTTTGGCGATTAGGCCCCCGGTTTGCAGGATAATCATTCAGGAGGGAAAGCACCGCTCCGATGAAATCCCCAAAACCAGTGAAGTATGAATACTGAGATGAACTGAGTTGCTTACCTTGTGGGGTGACTGGTGATCTGGGGAGGAGAGATAATAGATTAACACGTATATGAGCGACACTGTGCCGGAATCACTGCCGGAGCTTACTGGTCATGCTGAGACTCTGACTGCCGAAATCAGTGCCGGTCTTATCTGAAAACGACCTGCGGGTCGCATGCCTGGCCAGCAGGGCTTGACTACGCCGAGGAGCGAGCGGTTTCGTTTTGTAACGGTGGCCCAACGTCCACGACACCGAAGTGTACGGTAGCCTTCCGCTACGACACCGAAGTGTACGGTGGCCTTCCGCCACGCCTGACTTCGCAGGTTATATATATTTTCTTTACTCTTTCCTTTGTTTTGTAACTGACACCGAAGTGTACGGTAGCCTTCCGCTACGACACCGAAGTGTACGGTGGCCTTCCGCCACGCCTGACTTCGCAGGCTATATATATATATTTTTTTTTTTTTCTTTATTTCTTTTTCCTTTGTTTTGTAACTGACACCGAAGTGTACGGTGGCCTTCCGCCACGCCTGACTTCGCAGGTTATATATATATATATATATATATATATATATATATATATGTATCTTTTTTCTTTACTCTTTGTTTTGTAACTGACACCGAAGTGTACGGTAGCCTTCCGCTACGACACCGAAGTGTACGGTAGCCTTCCGCTACGACACCGAAGTGTACGGTGGCCTTCCGCCACGCCTGACTTCGCAGGCTATATATATATATATATATATATATATATATATATATATATATATATATATATTTTTCTTTACTCTTCATTTATTTTCCTTTGTTTTGTAACTGGCACCGAAGTGTACGGTGTAAGTGTTCCGCCACGCCTGACTTCGCAGGCTATATATATATAGCCTGACTTCGCAGGCTATATATATATATCTTTACTCTTTCTTTATTTCCTTTGTTTTGTAACTGACACCGGAGTGTACGGTGGCCCGAGTCCACGCGGACTGCAGGAAATACATTTTACACTGATGCGTTTGAGCAAGGCCTGGGAATGAAATACCTGTGTGCCGGAGATGAAGCCCGTTACCTGTAGTTGCGGCGTGAGACGAGACATTATTCCCTGTGGGCGGGGCCCGCGGAATTAGGACAGGAATGCAGTTTTGAATATCGGGAACCTTAGTGAGACATGTATACTTGTGAATGTGTTTGAGCCACCACCAGTTATATGTATAACTACCATAGTTAGGGTCTGAGAGATCTTTGGGAAGCCCGTACGGCGCTGATGTCCGGACGAATGAAGGTTGTGAAGGCGGAGGAGGACCACCGTCTTGAGGTAGAAATTGACGGGGCCATGACCCTGCGAACCACTCTCCCTGGAAGAAACCCCCCAAAACCCATGGATGGGCGGCATCCGTGAAGACCTCATTGAGTCAGAGGAACGCACGAGGCCATCGTAGAATAAAGTAATTCCGTTCCAGTGGGCGAGCAGGAGGGACCAGAACCGAAGGTCTGAGCGGCAGCCTTCGTCTAAGAAAACGCAGTCATGGAGGTTGTCGACCGCTGATGCTGCGTCCAGGAGGCGGGAGATGAACGAGCGCCCCTGGGGGATGATGTGCATGGCGAAGTTGAGGTGTACGAGAAGGGAGAGCGACAGTTGTTTTGTGATAACTTGTTGCTCGCAGTATGACTTGGTGATGTCCTGGATGCGCTGCGATTTGTCTGAGGGGAGAGACGCCTTCATGTCTATGGAGTCGAGGATGATGCCTAAGAACTCTAAGCGTGTGATGGGACCTAACGTTTTCTCTTTGGAGAGAGGGACACCTCACTCCTGAAGCAGTGTTTAAGCTTGGCCAGTGAGATCCCTGAGCTGTCCTGTGCGGGTTTATGGGGAGGAAGTCGTCCGGTAGGTGAAGGACGGAGGGGATTCTGACGATGTTCAGCAGGATCCAATAGAGCGCTTCCGAGAAGGAATTGAAGATGCAGGGGCTGCTTCTGCACCCGAAGGTCAGGCGAACGCGAAGATAGAGTTTGGACTCCCACTTAATACCGAACAAGTTCCACTGAGACGGATGAATGGGGATGATTTGAAGGCATCGGTAATGTCCGCTTTGGAGAGCCGAGCTCCGTGCCCTGTGAACTTGATCATCTTTATTGCATTATCCACTGAGGCATGGTGAAGGGAGAACTGATCTGGAGGGATGATGCTATTGACGCTGCAGAATGGGCCGGAGCGGGGAGCGGACAGATCGAAAATCAGCCTTTTATTTACGTGTGGCTATTCCGATGGGATTTGAACGGAACACTGAGAAGGGGGAGGAGCTAAAAGGACCGATTATATATCCTTTGAGAAGTTCTTTGTCGATGAGCTGGGAAACTATGTTGGGTTCTTTGCGGCTGACTGTAAGTTTCTTGCTACGAAAGTCACTGTGGGAGATGGGAGGACCCCTACCCTGAAGCCTTGGGAGAGCCATGACGGGAGATAGTCAACAAACACGGAATCTGTAGATAGCGCAGCTGCTAGCTGAGGGATGTTAATGGGAGTGGAGGGGTGATATTCCAGAATGTTTTTTTGTTTTTTTTATGTTTCTGGCGCAGAGCCACTGTGACGGCCCGTCCACACGGTGGCGTGCGTTACAGCTTCCAAATGCTTCTGCCCATTCACTTTGAATGGGGTGACGTCACTTTTAGTAGAACTGTATTTTGGGAAGCGACGTGGAGCATTTGCTGGCGTTGCTCGCTTCAAAAAGTTGAGCAATGTTCAACTT